CTTACTATGAATGTTGTTTCCATGTATATAAGCGTCTAAAAAAAACTCATTTCTGTTCTCCTTTGAGCAAAAGAAACCAGAAAAAGCCTTTCCTCTTTCTCTGAACTGTTTTCCTCCCTTTAAGCCTATACCTTTGTCGGCTTTTATTTCTCTTCCGGTGTTCCCCTCAGGTTAGTTTTTACATCCATCATTAAAAAGAGATGCTGCTCTTGCCATTTTTTGCCCTCACTCCCATTATCATTTTCCACAGACTATAAATCGGGCTCTTCACCACTTTGTGCTGCATCTCATTATAGGCGTCGTGTCACATTGCGTTTCCAAACGACTCGTTGTTCCTGCTGCAGCAGATCAGGGGTCTCGGTTCATATTCATAGAAAGATGCGTGATCAGAACAGAAGTTCCTCATTACGACGGCCCACTCTCCCAGAATTCACCCTGACGTCTCTCAAGTTTGAAGGGATTCCTTTGGAGAGGCTGAGGAAGGTAAAAAAAAAAAAATAATTAAAATAAAAAAAGTTGCGGGTTTGATTCTCAGCATTCTCAACAACAGGGAGAACTTGAAAAAAAGCAATAAGAAAGACAGAATTTTTTTCCTGTTTTTTGAAAATTGCTGTTATGAAACGATTAAACTCTGACTAAACTAGTTTAGCATCATAAATAGAAGCTTATTTAATGTATCAGAAACTGCATGACTGTGTATTTCTGAACTGCTGGTCGTACTGTGATATGAAGCCTTTCCAGTCTGAAAGCGTAATGACGCAGATGCAAATGACCCAGTGGTTGATGATCCACAGTTTATCGCTTTATTACCTTTTCTCTCTTAAGGATAAAATTATAGAATCAAACATGATGGATTCAGAGTCATTAAGTGAGATTTGGTTTTTGCCTTGATTTGTCTGGGCCTTTCTGTGGAAGCTATTAAGCCCAGCAAATTAAAGTTACCGTCCAATACAAGGCCATCATGAACATCTGAAGGCAGCTGATGATTAATGAAGAGTTTTTATTCAGTTTGCCGTTAATAGAGCAACGCAGTCAGCTTGAGCTGGAACTGTATACACAAACACGTTGCAGTACTCGGGCTGAAGCCTGGGCTTTGAAACAGTTAAGACCAGCTGGGAGTTTGTGGCCAATTTCAGATTACAGATTTTGTAAAGCTCTGACTTGCTGAAAGAGACTTTAGCTTTCTTTGACTTTGTCCTTTATTAATAACAAGATACTTTTTCCCCCCCTTTTTGCATTAATTTAAACTAGAACTCATCAGCAATAAAACACTTATACATGGTTTTAGCCTGAATTTCTTATTAAATAAATAAAATAATAATTAAAATAGATTTAATTTACTCGTGTTCAATTGAATACCTGAAAAGATATTCAATTATTATGTACGCCATTCATTCAAAATGGCTTCCTCTAACTTTTTTCTGAACACCTTAGTGAAAAACCGCTAGCTGAGTTTCTTCCACCAACGACCCAGGCCAGCCTGTTTGCATTTAGCTTTGGGTCGTTCAGTAGTTAGAGAGCAGATAACATTTCTAGCCAGTCACTTGTCGGAGCAGGTGAAGTGTAAAATGTTTGATTACAATTACAATCAGATCGCCTCCTCCTGTGTATCAGATTTGATGTATCTCTTATGAAGAAGGGTAATAAATAGGCTGTAAACCTCTTAAACTTCAAATTACACAATGCTTAGCGGACAAATAACATGTAAATGATCCAAGCGTTACGCTAGGATACCTTAGGGTCTCCACAGGCGTTTAATGAGGTGCATTAAATGAAACCTCTGAAGGTAAACCTGATGAGTCTCAGACTTCTGGAGCTCCTTTGATTTTAAGTTTCTATTTTAGGAGTTGGGAGTTACAGCTTGTGAATCTTTTCATTTTCAGTCTACTTCTCTCTGGTAATATTTTTACATTTTCAGTGTTTTCTCCAGAGAGAGAGTAGAGTAAAAAACAGGAGTCACACACGCACACACACACACGCACACAGAGAAGACACTGATAGCAGCCACACTGCTGTCTGCTTAGACCGCCTCTATATAACAGAAACTACGCTGAAGAGCCTCCAAGCACACTCAAATTAATTGGATTTGCTGTTAAATTGCTTCTTTTGACAAGTGCACACACACACACGCACACACACGCACACACCCACACACACACACACGCACACATACAAATACCCTTGCAGTTAGTTCGCTGTGATTTTTTTTTAGCTCTTAAAAATTGTTGTAGCGTCTCTAGCAGCAAATGGAAGTTCTCAGCTCCAGTCTACTGCAGTCTAATAAGTCTCCTGCACTCACACAGCGGCTTCCAGCTACAAATCAGGACAAGAAATTGGCTTTTCTTTCTCCAGAAGAGGTAATTAGCCACTTATGCCTGAACTAAAACAAGCCTTTCAGAATCTGAATCCCTAACATTCATCTGTCTTTGTCAGTTTTCAGCGAGTTTTGTTGCGACAATCGACTTATTTATTTTTTTTCAGTATATTTGGTTTGGATTCAGTCATCCATATAGCTTATTTGTGAAGGGATACTTTTACGCGAAGCAAATTATCTGCATTATGTTACCCTGTTGGAACAAAAAGGGGCATTAATCACGAGCAGGTGTCGGTAAACACTCTGTTCCTTGCTGATCTCTGGCCAGCAAGGCACTAAAGCCAGCTTAGCATCTCTGATCTATTTGGGGTCTGCTTTGTTCTTCATCAACTTTCAGAGGGAGAACACAGCAAAGTCCACTGCATGCGGTTCTTATTGCGTAAAATAACCCTTAAGCATGATAATTCAGCTTTATGTGAGGCATGCTGGTGTGTATGTTAGACCAGACTTAACGCATCAGGTCCTGACACATCCTGTTACCTGCACCGATCAGGCATAAGATTATGACCACCGACAGCTGCGTTTACTACCCTGTCGTCATATAGCCTGGTGGTGGGTGTGAGGCATGTTAATCAGCAAGTGAACATGTGTCCATCAATTGATAAATAGGCGAGTGTAATTGCCTATTTTGGGAATCAAAGTGAAGTGATTTGAGTGAGGTTGAAACTGATTTATAGATTTCGGCATTGAGCATCTCCAAAACTGCAGCTTTGGTTGGGTTGATTCCCAAACTCAGGGATTTTTTTTTTCCACTATATTGACAGAAACAAAAAATAATGCTCTTTATTATTTCCATACTTTTAGTAAATAAACAGGAACTCTATGAAATATAGTGAAAGATTTGTGTTGGGATTTTATTTCAAAGCTGGATAAAATTAGGTGATTGTTTTTTACTTTGTATATAAGAATGACCATGTTTTTGCTGTTTGTATTTCTTTAAAGACTATCAAGCATAAAATGCTAAGATCTTGCATTTTTGCTGATTAAATATTTTTTGTGCATTTTCTTGTTAGTGAGATGAAATACTTTGTGTGGTGCGTTCAATTTCGTGAACAAAATTGAACGCACCACACATGGCCACAGTACCAAATCTTTTATTTATCAGTAGCTTCGTCTATAGTTTTGATTTAAATGTGGTTTCCAGGATGAAAGCGTCGTCAAACAGAGGATAAAGCAGACAAAAACTACTGACTGTCCACAAGTGGGGTAGTTGTGCCTTTTCTGAGTGTTGGAGTGCTTTAATGTGACAGTGGCAGTGCAAGGACACACGTTCATGATGGGTGGTTTATGTGTTGTGACTCTGAATGTGTGAGTGTGTGGAGGGTGGGCTGTCTTTCATCCTGTGGGTTTAACCTTGAACACATGCATGCAGAGAGCGCTGCAGCTTCAGGGGCAGGCGGTAGAGGACGTCCAGAGTTACAACAGGTGATGGCACCGTCTGCGTGTCCTCAATGAGAGCGGCAGGGACTGATGGGTTGTCTCTGCTCCAGCCTCCTTTTTAAAGCGGGCTTTGAGTTTGTAAGACTCAGATGTCCTCTCAGAGGAGATCCACTCTCCTTTTTTTCCCCTTTTTTCTTTCAACTCGGTAAACTAATATGGGGCTGAGAAAGAGCAGCAATGGCTTCTTTGTAGTTTTTATTTTTGATACAAATCAGTGCAACCTTTTTAACTAACTATATTCCAGTCTCACATTTCTAAATTAAAGTGATTATTAGCAAAACTCTTTTTTCAACTCTCAAAATCTACTTTAGACCTTTAAGCATCTTAAATGGCCAAGAAATGTCGTCAGCTCTCAGATTTGGATCATGGCTATCATCTGCTTTCCACTTATTTACATAAATATACCCATTTGTAGGACCGTCATTATATCACTTTACAAAAATAATCAAATCCTTGAGCTTTTTCTATTTGTGTCACATTAGATTCAGAGTTTATTTATTTTGTAGGGATTTCACACGATAAACCAACACAATCCAGTTTTGCAATCCAAATGCCTTTGTGTTCAACGTCTTGGAGTAAATATTTCTGTGTGGTTACCTTTTGACACAGTTATAACTGCGAGGTGTTTGATTTTTTTTTTCCCCCCAGCTTTGCTTTTTTTTTATCTTCAGGTTTCTGAAAATGTCAAAATTTGCACTGAAAACCCAAGAAAATATTTAAAATATTTACACTTTAACTATTTTCAGAACTTTGACCATTTCCTTCCACTTTACCATAATCAACTACTTGTGTTGGTCCCGAAAAAATGTTATTTACTCTCTGACTGACAAAGTATAAAATCCTTCACGAGGAGTGAATCATTTTTATATGTATCTGCATACTGGACCATATTTCAGCCAGTTTTTTATGATTCAGCATCCTGTCTCCTCTGTTAATGTTGTGCTGCAGCCTGTAGCATCTGTTGTCTCACTAACAATTCCTCTGAAGTGGCAGTGATCATGTGAGGGGCAAATAAAACACATAGGTCTGCTTTGGTTTTCAATGTGGTGCACTAATGATCCAGTTGTGCATAAGCTCAGGAGTCATTAGCAACATGTTATTAAGTAATTCATGTAAATAATCATCATATTTGAAAAGACAATTTGACGTCGCTTCTCTAACCCTTTCTGTTCTCCGCTCTCCTCAGCCGAGCCCCTGCCGCTCATGGACCTGTGTCGACGTGCGGCCCGCCTGGCTTTGGGTCGGGAGCGGCTCAAGGAAATTGAGAGCCTCCCTCTGCCCCAGTCCCTCAAAAATTACCTCCAGTACCAGTGACTGACACCGGCAGATCCAACTGGGACAACAAGGACACAGAGCAGGCCACCAGAGATTCTGCAGATGGACGATGAAAGGGTGAACTTGAGGTCGCACAGAGGGGATGACTGATTGAGGAACGTCCACACTGGAGCACCGCAGCTCTCATGAATCCGTACAAGGACGGATAAGGACGAAGGCAGATGAACTGGGGGAGGAGGAGAGGGAATTCAGGCTTTCCAACAATCGGACCACACCAGCTTCTTCTTTCTTTTTTTTCAATTTTAGGCTGCTTTTTTTGGGGTTTTAGACTTGAAATAAATTATTGATGACAGCGTCACATCAGTGTCTCTTTCATCCAGACAGGAAGCCCATCCTCTGATGGCACAGCGCTGTTAGGTGACAAAAGCAAACATCGCCATCTAGTGGTGAGAATAGTAATGAAAAGAAGAAAAAAAAAAAAACAGGAGAAAGTAAGCACACTAATCCCATCCATGGAGGCCTTTCTGACATTCACTCACTGACCATATCATTGCAGCTGATGTCTGTTCATAATCCACACTGGCACAGGCGGCCGGCGGCAGAATCAGAAATGTCCAAAAGGATTTTTAGCACTGATGTCGTATTTATGTGACTGACCCCAGGCCTGCCCATCAGCTCACACTGCAGACAGATTACATCAGCACACATCTAGGAGGTGTGTGTACTGATCCTTATTATACATCCTTATTTGAAGAGAATGAAGCCCTTTTCAAACATTTAATGCTGTTTGTCGCACTCTTCTCAATCCTTCTTTTTGACACTAAAGTAAAACATTCTTGATCGACTCCTCAGCATGAGACATTAAATTATAAAACCAGAACTTTCTCACAATTGGCAACTTTTCAATTAGTCTTTAGTTGAATTTTTGATTGATATATTAGATATTTTTACATTAAACAGATATGATGTTTAATTTGCAGGATTGTGAAAAGTTTGACTCAGAAAGAACCTGACCTATGTTCGTCTATTATGAGTTAAAACTAAAATGAAACGTGTTCATAGTTCCCCACATAAATATTCTTTTTCTTCTTCTTTTTTTTTTTTACTTAATTCCATCTTTAAAATGATATAAATCATCGTCTTTAAGGGCATGTAGGTTATGCCATCTTGCAGCATTTACAAGCTGGTCTTGGCAGCCTATTTACCTCGGTTTAATTTCCTTCTGTACTTGTTGGTTAGATAAATGTGTTTGAAGTTGGTTGAAAATTCAAAAGGGACTCTTTGTCCAAGTTTCTTTTTTTCACAAAGCGTACACTTCACATAAACAACATCTCTATGTTACATGCTGCGCTCTGTCCATCATGTGAAAAACATTTAAGTCCACAGATTTCAAAAATTTGCTTTTTTTAAAAAATGCATTCATGCACAATACAAACACAAGGGTATTTTTGTTTTAGCATCCTATAATCTCTAAATTACTGAATAAAACTTAGGCAAAGTTCGAGTGATTGCTTCTGTTTCATAGAAGTTAATCAGGATGTTTTTTAAGCTAAATCAAGTGATGTATTATCATCCCCTGATCGTTTACCTGTTATCCAGAGGTGTTTTCATAACCGTTAGGGGGTTTTAACTTATGAAAAAAAATAGCAGTAAGAAAAAAATTCACTGAATCTTTTTCTCACTGAATTTAATTCACAATACAACACCACACAGCTGTGGGAGAAATACTATGAAATAAGACAGAAGATCCAAGTGTTGAGGTAAATTTGACTTTTCCATCACAACTTTACCTTCAGAATCATGTCTGAAAGGGGCTTCATTTCTCACTCAGTTCGAAGAAATCTGCCTTTTGTTTTGGTTAAGCTAGTCTTTGGTTTCTTTGAAAATCATTCCTCGTGTGACACTAACTCATTTACAACAATGTCACATCACAACCAAAGTTATTTCGGTGGAAGCCATCGGTCGTAGAGATGCGTCTTCAGGCCTGTGCCTGCATGGCGCAAAGAGACGCCGGCTGTTGTTTGTAGCGCCCCGCTGTAGCTCACTTGGTAGCAAGCAGCGTGTGTGTCAGCTCTCCACGCCACTGCTGTCACTTCCTAGGAGACCAGAGTTTGACTGGATCTATAGGAGAGGCTGTAGCAGGACCTAGGGACCTGGCTGTAGAGACTCAGCAGGTGTGCTGCTGGATCCGCACAGAATGTAGACGACCAGCCCACAACCACAAGACCAATGGATTTCTACTTCCTTGAAAATGGCTTGAGTCACTTTTTCAACTTTATTTGTGTTGTTCAGTATAAAACCTTTTCCATCCGATGATGAAAGGATGGACAGGGTTTATTTATCACAAGCTAGCTGTGTGTTTGTGACATTCAGGTTGATTTTGTTCAAACGATGCTGACGATGAAGGGAGACGGAAACTCAAACTTGTTACTTCAATGCTGCTTTTATTATGATGATGATGATGATGATTATTATTTGCGATGGTTATGGTCTTATCTTCTGTTTTTATTGGTTGGAATGAGGAGAATGGGACCATTTCAAGAGTTTAGTGGAATCAATTAGAAGTATGAAATGTGAATAAAAGCCAAGTGACATTGAAATGCTTCCTCGCCTTTTTTCTTTCAACCCACTTCTGCTTGCAAACAATGACCACAGACGAAGCGACATGTCATTTTAAGAACCCCTTTCTAAGACGCTCATCATTATGCAAAGTCAGTACCTCAGCCAGTTTGACCAGCAGGAAGATGGGAATGGGCCTGGCGGTTCGCCGGGGGGGGGGTTCAGACCGCTACAGCATTTTTAATTTTGTCTCAGTGAGATTTAATCTTGTGTTCATGCTAAGGGACGGAACACGGGGTTGCAAATTTGTCTGCCTTTTGTTTGCTGATGTTCATTTAGCATCAGCAAAACAAAGTCAGTAAGTCAACAGTTACTCAGCTTCTGGTGCCGCTCCTGCTGCGGTAAATACAACACATTCAGGAGGACAAATGCAAATGACTTCAATCTATCAGAATCTGATGCTTCCTCTAGCTGGAGGATCAAGACTCTCGCTAAAACAGGAACATGTCAAGCTCACCTCAAGCAAGCACAGGCACTTTAACAAACAGTCCTCCATGTTGTGTCTGCTGCTTGTCCTTAATCACTTTAGGTTCCCACACACACAGGAGCATCATTATTTTCCTGTGTTCAGCTTTTGGCTCTTTGAAGACCTTTGAAAACGAAACGCTCCACAGGAAATGACAACAGACCACACTAGTAAGCTAATGGAAATCATTTTAGTCCCTAATTAGTCCCAGTTACATGATTAATTATTGTATTAATGAAAACATATTATTAATACAGTACTAGACTTTTATTTTTCAGCAGACTGCTAGAATAAAAGAGAACCAAGATGCATTAATTCAACCATTAAATAACTTTGTTATAAAACCTTCAGCCTTGTAGAAGAACAATCATCTAGAACTTGAATAAGAGTGGAGTGATCTTCCCATCCAACATCAGTGTCTGACCTCACATATGTGTGTCTTGAAATAACACCTTCTCCAAATGTTGGGAGAAAAAGTCCACATTCTATTAAGTATTTATCTAATTTAATCAATTATCCATCTATCAATAACCACTCCATGTATCTTGGAAAGTAAAATCTGTTAATCTATTTTGGTGTGAATGCAATTTTCCCAGATTGTAAAATAAAAACGTGCTGAATTATTATTATTTTTTTCTTTCTATTAATTTTCTGTCTGGGCTCCAGAAAATAATGAAACTATCAGACAGGTGACCATTAAGTTAAAGTCCCATGAAGACTGTTCAGCAGATGAAGTCTTGCTACGCTGCTTTCTGTTCTCTGTTCTGCTGAGTGTGCATTTCTTCGCTTCCTGCATGCCCAAGGAGGGGGAAAGACAATCGACTAATTAGTAGCTTAATGTGGCTTTTTAACCGATAAGCACTGCATGTTCAATAATGTTGAAACGGACCTCAGAGAGCCAAGAATGCAGTTAATAGCTATTGACTTGGTTGAGCTGTTAAGCAGGTGAAATGGGATTTTCTGTACTTGGACATTTCTTTCTGCGGCTCGTTTCATCTTTTCTTGAAGAACCTCCTCCAAATGAAAGTCTCATTTTTGGTTTTCCTTCTCTGTTCACAAGATTAAGGTTTTCTAAGAGCAGATTGTTCTCTTTTTGGCATCCTTCGTTCTCATCTCTTTATGTTATAAACCGTAGGAAATCATCAGCACATAGGCTTTTAAAGGAACAGCAATCATTTTTCCTGTCATTTTGTAGTCAAGTAACTTTGTTAGCTTCAGTTGTTATAAAAATGCTATATAAATCAAATATGACTAAAAACACAAGAATTGACATCGTAATTTAACATGTTGAAATTGGAGATAACCTTAACCCTTCTGACCTTTTAGCAAAATTTTTCCAACATTGCCCCTTTAAGTATCTGACTATTCACATTTTATTTGTCTGGCCGAGTAAGAACATTGAGGAATAGTAATAAGGACAAACCGAAATGAGAAATACACCCAACACATCCCAGCCATGATTGTGTTTCACCACAAATATCTGGGATGCTGCAGATCGGCTTGTGAGTGAAATCTATTTCATTTCCGTCATTCTCACAGCAATGCAACATTCTCCCTGTTTTTAAAAATAGATTTTTATTTACTGGACTTTTGCTTGAGGAGACATTTGTAAAGACTCCTTCTTGTTCATTACAGGTGTAATGTCACGTTTATGACAGTGTCGCATTCTTATGCACACCTCTTCAAATAAAGTATTAACCGAGCTTTTATACAAATCACTGTGTTTGAGATCAGTATAGTTTTAAAGTAATCCCAGGCTACTTTGAAAGGTACCTCTTTCTATAAAAATAGCTTTTAGCTTCCAGTTCTGAATTAATACTAAAGACACCAAGAAATCTACACACTTATTAACCTTTAATAGAACCGAATAGAATAGAATCAGAATTTTCTCTTTAATGTCTGTCTTACCCTGGCAGAGAAATAGGTTCACTTCTGACAAGAGCAAATAAAGGAACTGCATACGTAAAGTTAGAATATTCTTTACTGGCCCAAACGCTGGAATAGATGCTGTGAGATATGTAAAAGGCATTGCCTGCATCAACGTGAGTTTTCCATCAAAACAAATGGGAACATCCAGAAAGGCGGCGCCGAGGTGTGAATTTCAGGAAGCCTGCTAAATGAGCTAGCAGCTTATGAGCCTTAAAGCATCCAAACAAAGAACATGCGCGGACGCCACAGAAACAGGAAGCAGAGCCGCGTAGAGTCTAAAACAATTCTTTATTGATCAATATACAGAGAGCTGTGGGATGACCACCAGATAGAGATAAATCCCAACTATTTAGTTTACAAAAAGAAAAGGAAACAGATATATAAAATAACGGTCTTAAACATTTTTACAGGGTTTAATTTTATATGTAAAAGAACCTCTTTATCCTTTCTGTTTACGAAGCATATTATGATAAAGAAAACAGGGCAGCTGCTTCACAATGGTGACACCACGAGCACAGGTGTTTAAAGGACAGGTGGACACGCGACATGTCTGCTAGAGAGCACATACATCACAGGAGAGGAGGGGGAACCAAGCTGTGGTTTTTCCCAGCCAATCTAGCCTCAGGTTAACTTTACATACTGGACACTTAATATGAATCTTAGGGTGAAGTCATCACAGTTAAGGATGACTCTGGTTTCATCATAGCTGGAGGGTCAGTGACTGCAGAACAAGAAACAGTTTTCCTCTCAAGGTTCAGGATGGGAGTTTCAAAGGGCGCTCCACAGATTTTGCAGAGGAGGGTTTGCTGTGGTCAAGCAGGTCTGCTCGGTCGGTGGAAACGTTTGCATAATGTGCTCTGTGGATCGCCTTTCATTTGAAACGAAATGCACATTTTAAAAGCTGGATTCGTGGGGCTGTTATTAGGACGCAGATATGGATTATGGAAACATTTTAGAGAAGGCGAACTCTGAAAAACGTCGGCTCTTCCCTTTAACCCAGCGCTCGTCAGTTCCGGTCTTCAGGCCCTCCTGCTCTGCATGTTTTAGATGTGCCTCTATTCCTGAACAGCTGATTGAAATGATTTCATGACCATCAAGTACTGCAGAAGCCTGTTAATCACCCACAGATTCCTTCCAGGTGTGTGGCAGAAGGGGAACACCTGAATTATGCAGGGCAGGAAGGGCGTGAGGACCAGAATTGAGAAATACTGCTTTAAACAAGCATCCATATAGAAATGCAACAAGATATAAACTGCTTTTGTCTTAATGGGTGGGTGAAAAGCACCAACACACAAATGTTTATAGTTCTGGTCAGTTTTTTTACATCCACTCATTATCAGCATGAGTGTATCATTCGTTTGGTCGATTTATTTGCACTGCAAGATGCTAAGAGACATTTATTCTAATATTTAGGGTGCATTTGACCTAATACGTGCATACATGTAAATATCTATTTTGCCATTGTGTGTATTAGAGAAAGTTCAAAAGAAAATCTAATTAGTGCACCCAGCTTCGTAATTAAAACTAATAAAACAGTGCGTGTGTTTGTGCGTGCATATGTGTGTGTGAATAGACCTAAATTAAATTCAAAAGTGATAATATTCATGCTCATGCTGAGTGGATGTAAACTTCTGATTGGTACTGTAGGCTGAAATGGTTATGAGGAGGTGGAGAGGGAACCTCCGAGTCAGACTGACTTATGTTTACATATTACATTTAAACTTAAAAAAATAAAAATCTCTTCTGCCGCTATTTCTCAGAGTTCAACCTTGCTGCAGGGTGATGCTGGGTGGTAATTACGGTGATGCCTAAGATCATGAAAGTCCTGTGTAAGTTGTAGACTCACATACATATTGCTTTAACCAAACCAGGAAATCACAATTTTTAAAATCAGCTTCTCTTTACATTTCATCTTCAGGCCAGTGTTGGCCTTCAGATTTGAATTAAAGTACCACTATGCGATTAAAGACTTCCGATTCAAGACAGGAAAGCTTTTGGGCTAAAAACAACACGATTAAGTTGGCTTTAAAAACCAAGCAAAAACTAAAGGAGGGATGACTGCTACGTATAATCTGTTGCTGTCACTGTATGCAACATATAAGAAATGAGGAATGTTTTGTTGTGAGAGATCCCGGGCCACAGAGCCACAGCACTGCTCATGCACAAGAAGGAGGCGTGAGGCTGCAGACAGGGATGACGAACACTGAGCAACAACATCGTTACACCACACAGAATATTTAGATTCAATAATCTATATCTAAAGGTTTTATGCATATATTAACCTCTGGACACATGTATTCATACATTGGATTTGCAGACAATGCGGTTAAGACGTGAAGACAAAAAGTAATGTTAGGACACGTGTACAGCGCTTTGCTTAAGTATTCATAGCTTGTAAACTTAGGTTTTTTTCCCCCCGCCCCACATTTTGTCCTTTTACAACCAGACATTTTGAAGGGATTCTATGTGAGGAACCAGGACAAACGAGTTCACAAATGTGAAAGGGGGAAAGAAAAGTATCACATTGTGGAGGTAAATGAAATCCACTGCAACACTGCCATTTCAAGAAGTGCAGTTCAATCCATCATCTAAACATCTAAACATATGCGATATGCATATGCAAAGATGCAAATAAACCAGGAAAGGAAATTTCACCTAAACTAAGAGGTTTGGGAAGAAGAGCACTAATCAAAGCTGCAGCTCAGAGGCCCATGGTAGTGTTGGAAGAGCTGCAGAGAATCAAAGCTCAGGTGGGTGAATCTGTCAAAAGATTATATATGTGACAAATTTCCTGAATGTTTTTTTTTCCACATCAGTATAGTGCTTGTTGAGAATATGTTATTTACTTAATCGTAAGTTTTGCAATTTCTGCAATGTATCAAAATTGCGTGTGTGGAAGGCATTGTTTAAAGAAACAGAATTTAAAAAGTCCCCATTATCACTTTGCCACAAGCCAACTAGATGACACAGTAAACATGTGAGCTGGATGTTCTGCTCACATGAGACCAACATTGAACTTTTCGGATGAAATGCAAACAGGGTGGAGGTGGCATCATGCTGGCGGGATGCTCTTATTTGTCACAGACTGATAAGCTGGTCTTTGGAGGACGAATAGAAGTTGATAGAAAACATGAGAGGCTGCAGGTGGCTTGAAGTGTCGCTCTGGGTTGGTCTATCACGTAAAATCCCAGCTAAAAACATTGAAGTTTGGTGGCAACGTGTTGAGATGACTGGAAAAGTTTAGACTATGAATACTTTCTGTTGCACACTGTACTAAATTCAGGGACAAGAGATAAGTTTTATGTGTTATGAGAAAAAACTTCAGACTTGTCTGCACATGCACACACACGCACACAGCCGCACACACACACAGCCGCACACACACGGTGAAATGACACGTGCTTATTTTGTGTGTTTATGGATGCTCTGCCTCACTGCCAGAGGAGGGAATAATGACAAAGACTCAGATAATGATTTCCAGCACTGTGGCACTGCAGCCAACTGTATAATGTTTGTCCAGAAGAGGGCGATATTACTTCAAAAACGACAACATGGGAGAATTTGTGTATTTTTCCAGCAAAAGATTGTAATTTATATTAGACAATTTTGTGTGTGTGTGTGTGTGTGTGTGTGTGTGTGTGTGTGTGGTGTGTGTGTGTGTGTGTGTGTGTGTGTGTGTGCTGTAGCTGTGACAAGCATGTGTTAATGCCTGCATAGTGTATGTGTGTGTGTGTGTGTGTGTGTGTGTGTATGTGCGTGTACGTGTGTGTGTGTGTGTGTGTGTGTGTGTGTGTGCAGTTGAGAGAGATAAAGCCACTGTGTTTGTGTAGACGGATTCCTGTGTGTGTGCTTAGTATGCTCCACATGAACTGTCCCACTCAGGTTTCCCCTTCTGCTTCCTCCCGTTAACCTCGTCTCTTCCTTTGTTCCCCTCCTCTTCGTCTTCATCACTGCTGTCTGATTCAACGATCGTCATGCCTCCCACCAGCTCGGCGTCGTCTTCTTCATCCTCCTCCTCACATTCTTCTCCTCTCGCAGCTTCTCCCAGAGCCTGGGGTCCTCTCAGGTCCTAGACAACAAATTGTGTCCATTGCATCAGAGATAAATAAACCTGCTGAAGACTTGAGACGGTCTCGGTTACCTCCATGGGGTTGACAGTGATGTTGAGGCCAGAGCCTTCCCAGTCCGACTCTGGATCCTTGATTTCATCCTCTTCATCTCTGGAGCTCTCCTGATGTGTGGCGTGGATCCTGTAGATCCCGATCACCACAATGATCACCAGGGCGGCGATGCACACCACAATGACGACCGTGGCCGCAGGGGGCGCTGGACCTGGCGGAGGAAAGAAAAGCTTGTTTACAATCATAAACTACGTGGACCATGTGCAGCATCACTTCAGTTTCAAAGTGTTTTTTTTTAATAAGAGACAAAGCTGGAGACATGTAAAGCACAAAAGCTGTTCATGCTTGGTGGCGGCACAAGCCTTGGGATTATGATAAGAGATAAGAGCGACAAGGTTCAGTGGAAACTGATTCAGTGAATACATCATGTGCAGCGCCACCATCACTCTTGAGTGCACAAAGGATGTGTACACAAGACTGAGCAAGAAGCTGAAAGATCAGCTGTTCACTTTTTTCGTTTCTTTTTCCTTGCTGTGAGCCACATCTTTTACGTTTTGATTGGTTGCAGCCTCTCCAGCAATCCTGACTGGGAGATTAGAGCACCAGCAATTTATCGGGATGAAAAAGGCACACAGAAAAGGAAACTGGCTGAACATAAATTGACCTTATATTTTAACTCATTCGTCTCGTTGGTTACAGGTCTAACAACAACATGAAGACTCCAGCTTTATAAGCAAATCATTACAATCCAACTTGAAGGCAGGGTAACAATGCACCGAAATGGACTTGCAAAAACTGTCACAAGCAAATCAGAAGTCAGCGGTAACCTAAAAAACTGTCTTCTGCAGGTTACAGCTAATTTTTCTCCAATCTAGACAGAATAAGAGACTTTATTGAAAACAGGAGAGTTTATTAAAGCCCAAAGGAAGCATTTAGGTAATGAGGGTAACCTGCATTCATCATCGACTACTGAGGTCAGTCCCTCCTTATGGTTACTTCATGTTTACCTGACGAGTCCACCCAGAAAGTGAACTGAACTACAACTTGTCAGAAAGTTTTCTCTCTGGAGTCAATGGACCACTTCCTCTGTATTGACCATTTTTGATTATCTATTTGTATAATAAATTTTGCTTACAAGTAAATTGTTAAGGAAATACATTCATAATAGCAGCCTGGTTCTGTGAGAGGCATCAACAAAACTGTTATCCAGCAGAGGAAAACGATCAGAGCAACCTTCCTCTTATTAGCAAGACTCACCAGCTTTGGCTGAATAACTTCAGGGATTCGGCTGAACTTGCTTCAGTCCACTTTTACAGCGACGAGGTGTTTGACTCTCATTGAGATCATGATCTGTGCTCGGTTCACATTTTCCTTTTCTTTAAAGGTTTCCTTGGCTCTGGTGGCCTTTATTTGAAAGTAGTTTGACAGGAAACAGGGTAATGAAGTCGGGGGAAGACATGCGGCACATGTAGCCAGGCTGGGAATCGAACCTGCGACCACCGCCACGAGGACAAAGGTCTCAATATGTGGGTCATGCTTTGCCCCCAGTAGCCTGACATTTTCCTTTTCTAAGTTTTCAGTCAGTTCTTGGTGGATTTACTTGTATGTTTTAGACCACTGCCATGTTGCAGGGTCTAGTTCTGCTTCAACTTATTTTTTTATGGGTGGTTTTACATTTGATCAACATCCTCTGATGCATGGGATTCATGTTCTGTGATTGTAAAATGGTCATGTGCTGTACCATTGTTTCATAGCTGGTTTGATCATTTTTTTCCTGGTATACTACATTTGGTTTATGCTCAACATGTTCTGTTCCAGTGTCCAAATAATTACATTTTAGACTCATCTGCCCAACGAACATGAATCCACATGTCATGGTTTTATCTCCATTCTGTCAGTGCCACAGGCATCTTCATTTTCCATAAACGTTTTCAGTCTCTTACTGACTATACGGACGTGTGCCTCCATAGACTGCTGTGGGTCCCGGCTCCTTCTAGGACTTCTGTTAGTATCTTACAATCTGCTTTCAGGGTGAACTTGCTTGTTGAGTGTAGCCTGGGCATATGGGCAGTTGCATTAACTGTCCTTCACTTCTACATATTTTTTTCCACACTATGGAAATCTGGAATACAAATTCTTTTGAGACCTCTTTAAATCTTCTACCATACTCATAATCAGATCTGACCTTCTTTCTGAAGCTCTCTCGATCTCATTATGGGGTCCAGTGACATTTTAGAGGTGAGGAGCATGCCAAATTAAATGTCTAACATTTCGACAGGATGAGCTGTCTTTTGAAATGCTTCAGCACAAATTATTATCAGATGGGAACAAGTTTGATGAGAAAAAGGAGAAATTCATGTGTTCAAACCACTCAAAAAGGTAAGGATATAACAATATAACAATTCACTTCTTCATTAGTGGGTTACCTGACATGTGTGAGTTCATAGTGTGGATCATCAGAGGGCGATGGACCGCTCTCATGTACTGGGACGGGGCGGCCATGTGATTAACGTGCTCCACGGCTGCAGTGTGGTGAAGAACGCTGATCTAACGAAGCAGGAACAAAGAGCCATTATTCTCAACGACGAGGCCAAAGAAAGGCACAAAGTTTAATGTGCAAAAAAGAGAAAAAAGAAAATATCTATGAATGGCATTAAAAACCTGCCTCCAGGTTGAACTCGTTGCTGGTGTAACGTCCATTGAGTTCGGAGCAGGTAAGTCTGAACCTTCTCTCCGTCAGAGAGGCAGGTCTCCAGTTCCTGTAGCGCAGCTGTCTGAGGACCTGCTCATAGTGGGCCATGGAATCCACACCTGTGGGCAGACGAACCCACTGACAGAAACTACCCCACATTTATGTCCAACTCAAATCTGGAGGACACTTAAAAATATTTTTCTGCCTCTGACGTCTCTGACGCTGACCGTAGCCACCGAGTTGCTCAGGATGAACAATAATGACACTGAAAAATGTGGATAAATCAGAGCTCATGTGGGGTGGTGTTAATACCACAAAAAACATGCAGCTCTCATGAAAATGCTAATTGTTTATTCAGATGATGGAATTATGTCAGAAAATTAATTGTTGTACATTTGTACAGACTGTCAGTAGCTATTTGAAACAAAATCTGAGGATTATTTGAAAATTGAAAAAAATTAAAAAAGGAAATTCATATCATTTTTTTTTTTTGTGTCACCTTAAATTTGACCTAAAAAGAAGGTTGAAATTTATGGACTTTTAAACAATAAGAAAGACATTTCACACATTTTTAATCTCTATAAATTGCTTCCCAGGTTTTGGCCTCTTTTCAGCTACCTTTGAAATTACTTGACTTTTAAATAAATAGATGCACAGATCTACCTTTATTTATTGATCTGTTTTAGGAAGATTTCAACCTAATAGAGTAAAGCTGATCGTTTTGCTATGTTTCAGTCACTCAGATTTGTGGAAATTTCCATTTACCTACTGATTTAAAACAGAAGATGTTCCCTCCAGATTCTCATATTAAGATTTCTCACAGACACGGTTGGGGTTTTATGAGTGATGTTAAGTTGGGCTACCATATACTGATATTCCAGAGGTGGAGTTGGTGGCGTCGAGGTGTTTTCCCAGTAAAGCACTGTGCTGAATCTCCAGGCTCTCTCTCTCTGGTTCCAGTTCGTCTCCGATTACAAGCACATCACAGTAGTCCAGGTTATGCATCACCTCCATCACTCCTGGCCGGCGGACTGCACACACAGCCACAAAGTTATTTAACATACAAGTAGGAAAAAAAAAAAGGTTTGCAATGATAAGGTCTGGAATTATGAGTAGGATGTCAGATAAAAACTGTCTTGTTGAAGATGAGAGGTGTGTCCACTCACATCCACCAAAGCTGTCGCCCTTCATCACCGTGCTGGTGATCCGAAGCTCTTTGAAGGGCGCCACGCCCAGCGGGCCGCGGAGGTCGCTGGCGGGTCTGACAAGCTGCTTGGATCCTGATATGGTGATTCTGGGTTCACTGGGTGGCAGCACCATGACCACCGCCTTGATGTCCGGGATGGAGACACATGTGTCCTCTCCAAAACACCTGACGGATGGACAGAGGAGGTGACACAGCAGCACGGCTTATATGTCTTCACCTAAAGCCTTAACTATAGACTCCCATGGAGCCGATAACGCGCTCCATACTCGGTCTTTGCTGTCATGTTCTGATAGAGAAAGCAGAAAATATCTATTTCTACAACAATGCTTGTTGTAGAAATAGAACTATCACCAACTAAGATACAGCGATGTATTATTATCAAGATTTTATGTCAACAACACAAAATAGAACAAAGGTTTTCAATTATGCATAGCATTAAATTATTTACAAATGAAAAAAAAAACAAAAACAGAAATGCGGTCCAAACTCTGCAGAACCACGTTTGTCTCCCGTTGCAGCTGTCAGAGCTTTGGGGTCTGTCTCGATCGACCTTTATTCATTCTTACTGGCTCAGTGGTAAAAGCTTGAATAGACAGAGAAGCTGTGAACATAGATTTTAAGTTTTAATAATAGATTCTCAACTGGATTTAGATCTACAATTTTACTGGGATCATTTTGTTTTTATGTAAAACAGTTATTGGGAAAGTCACATGCAAATGACTTTCGACTTCTCTTTTAATATTTCGAAATGAAAATGTGCATAACCAGGTAATCCCAGATAATGACTGGTTTGCTAATTTAAAACATTTTCTATATAAATGTAATTCACATGTGTGGAGATGCTACACCACGTCAAAAGATGCTTTATTTTCACCTCTTCATCAAATTTGTTCTGCAGCTGACAGTTTATTCTTTTATGGCAGCTTATACACAGTTTCTCTTATATTCAACTAGAGATTCTCAATTTTCCTTCAAATAGACTATTTCTTAAGGCATTATTTAAAAGTCTATTAATTTTGTATGAAACACGCTTTTTTGATCGGTAAGCTGTTTTTTTTTTTTTATCATGCTGATGAAATACTCCCTGATATTTCTAGTGTTTTTTCTAACCAGCTCTCTGTCATTACTGCTGGTGATTCTGACCTGCTGAAGGCTGGATGGGATTTTTCTGTCTCAGTCTCAAGACTTTTGCATCTTCAAGCAAGTTTTTAATCCCAGACGTTTGATGGATATAGTTCGGTCTGAGTTGCATTTCAGGGTGAGAATCTTCCCTGCCCATTTTGAAGAGTAACATCCCCCCCAGCATGATGCTGCCACCACCATGTTCCCCAGTGGGAATTGTGTGCTCAGTGCAGAACATCTGGATTTACACTGAACTGTACACAAGTGACTTTTGTTTACTAATGAGGTGACTTTTTAAATTTGATTCATACAAAAAGAAAATCTTAAAACCTATAGCATGATTTTACTTCAGAATGATGTTCTTCAAAACATCTCAATAAAACACATTGGTGCTTGTGTTTGTAACCTCATAAAATATATTTCAAGGGGCAGAATTACAAACATTATATGTCTTCTGTTAAATCTTCTCTGCATGATAACATGTTTGTAACAGTATTAACGGAAAATAAATTGTCAGTGATGGTTGATATTTTTTGGGCTAATTAATAAAACTCATTTTATTCCACTACTGCTCCTGGATCTTGATTTTGAGTTAGATTCCACTATAAAGACCAGCACAAGATTTGTGTTGGAAATTAACAGGAACTATTCATGTCTTTGTTTTCAAATGTTAAAAAATATAATAATAATAATAATAATAATAATAATAATAATAATAATAATAATAATAATAATAAAAGTTAGTTTTCCTTCATACTGTTTGCTTTTTACATTTCACCCAGCAGCACCATATTAATCATTTTTGCTGGGTCATGTGGAACTAGTCCATGAACTCTATATGCCAGAAAAGCCCAGTGAGGATAGGCAGAGGTAAGACTGCAAAATTGAAAAGAAAATGCAGCAGTGAAGTGCAAGAAAGTGATATTTCAGCCACAAAGCATAGATTTCCATAGATTACACAATATCTATGTGTATGGATATGTTTCTGAAAACTGATGCGATTTGTCAAAGCCTCAGGCGATACAGGCCATATCCTAAAGCCTATGATTTCTGACATAGTTGGAAAAAACTGCTGCAAGCTGTGACAAAACAGAACTATCAGACGTTAAAAAAATGAAAAGAAATCCAGCTTTCTTTAATAACAGGCTGCAGACTCGACATGTCTGCGGAGAGCACATGGAGGACTCTGCCAGCTTTATCTCCACAGCGGCGGGTTGGCGTTGCACAGTCAGACGACTTCGATTGTTGTTCCACAAGTTCGTCTCACTTTATCAAACGACGTGTGTCTGAGCTGACCCCGGCCTGCGTTTAGAGCTTAACAAAAGAGGAGCACGGGTGTAAAGGCAAGAGAAGGACAGAAACACTGATACTGAACCCCCAGATGGGATATGGATGAAAGTGGACTCTAAATATAAGATAAACGATAAATCTACGTTTAACATTCAGAACCTCAGGCAGTAAGTCATTACTCTGGATGCATTAAAGCAGTTTAATAGGTGTGACACTCATTACATCTGCAACCAACAGCCAAGAAATGTTGCTATCTTATATATTAGGGGGGAAATCCAAATGTGGCAGCTTGTGCAAATTGAAAAGGAGAGGCAGACTGAGAGACTGACCTCATCATCCTGAAGATCTGCTGGGTTGAAAATCACTTGAGTTCAAAGCAAATTTAAAAGAGCCACAAACAGACAGATAACAACAACAAACAGGAGAAAGGACAAGGAGAGTTTATACTCTCTACAAACACCATCAGGTTTTATTTCCTGGAGGTTACATCTGCTTTTCTTTCATGGTTTAATTGGTTTTACACTAATGGTTTGTTTTTGCCCATCTCACTGAGTGTTCAATGGCTTGAAGACAAAGTCAAACCCAACTGATCGGCCAGGCTTTTGCATCTCCTTCACACTTTGTTACATACTCATCTTTTCACCAGAGGTATCTCCCAGTTGTGTCTGAAAAAAGTCCTTGTTCTGGAAGTGAATCCTAATTTTGCACTTTCGAACAACGGTGAAAACTATCGACAAACTTATGACCAATTTGATGGGGATACTGTTGGCAGCTGTACAGGACTGGATGTATCATGTATATATGTATCATGATTTCTTTCAGGAGTCTGTAGAAAGTGTAGATGTGAGAAAAAAATTTGAAAATTGCGCTGCTAATTTTAACACATTACATCCTATGTAAGTAATTAATCAAAATTATAATTATATAAATGGTGTAAAAATGTCAAAATTAGAGTTTAAAAACCTTAAAATACTATATATACTTTATAGTATACTTTACATACTATAAACTAGGGTAAAAATGTGAAAACTATCTTGACTGACAAGTGTTTCCAATCATAAACATACGTTTTGCTTCAGCTGAGGGCAGAAGTGCATCATTTTAAATGTGTCACAATTAAGGCAGAAAATATGTGCAGATCAATTTTAATTAAAATTACCGATCTTTCAAGAAGCAAGCAACCCAAACCTCCCTAAATGAAGATCAATCCCAAAGGTCTGGGGTAAAATCAAAAGTACTAAGCCCCCAGCGGGGCTGTTTTTAAGGTGCAGTTCTACTCCAGGAGTCTGTTTTACACTGGAAGTTGCAGAGGAAATAAGCCAAATGGCATTAATCTAGCAATAACAATATGCTGGGTGCTTGAATAACTGAGGTTATTACTATTGCTGCAGTGGAAAAATATAGCAGAACTCATTGCGATGATGTGAAAAAAAATCCCTACAGTTTTATTTCTCAGTTACAGCAACAACATTCAGAGTCATGACAATAAACGAAACAATTCTTATTTGAGTGGCTATTTCATTTTAAACTTTGATATGCACTACAAAGATGAATAAATCCACTAGAATAGGTTTAGATGACTTTATGTTTAAATTACTCCACTTCTACACACATCTTGTCTAAACACTTTGGAACAGCCTCAAAATGCAAACGATGGAGACATCAGGTCGACTGTGGATTGTCAGGCAACCAACATCCCAGTTTAAATAAGCAGATAGTTAGGACAACGCAGTTATGGAAAATAGATAAGGTAATATCCAAATTGTGCTTCATCTTTCCAATAAAGTAAGAAACGCATCCAATAAGTAATAAGTAATAAGGACTCACTGTACAGACGTGGAGATGTGCAGCCGCCTGAGGCCTGGTGTGGGGAACTGCCGAGAGTTGATGTAAGAGACTTTGGTCATGGCTATGTTGATGCTGTCCACATCCCCTCCTTCCACCACCAGCACCGACTGGGCCGGGTTGAAGTGAAACTGGACACACAAAGACAACTTTAAAATCTAACCTCCTGTCTGCTTTATGTAACTAATGTCCCTGATCTTTAATCAGAAGTGTTCGCAATGGACTGCATTTGTCTTCAAATCTATTCCAGATTAGCTTCAACACACGCCTTCGCTGATTACATGTGACAGTGTAATAGTTCTGTAACAGAAATGAGGTGATGAGTTTTCCCTACAACACTAAACGGAGGATGAAGTGTCTTGTGAAAACGCGACTGTGTCTTTGTATTTTCATGCACCTTTATGTCCTTAGCAAGGCTTTCGAGGGAGTTAATGTCAAGGCCTTCTTTGCAGGCCTGCAAGCAGGAGATAACCTTCTGGGTTTCAATGCGGCCTGGTCGGATCGTCAGACCCGAGAGGCTGCCGTGGAAATACTGGGTGAACCTCGGTGTTGCCACCTCGCCACCTGATGGGAAACCGAGACAATAAGATGATGAGAAAAAAAACACAAAAAGAAAAAAAACACGGAAGGAAAAGAGAGGCAACGACAAAGAAACAATGTTAGGAGTGATGCCTAAAGGGCAATTCCAGTGATAAACCAGTAAGAGTCTAGATTATAAAATATTGTCACCACATTCAAACTTAAACAAAACCTTCTTCAGATTTAACATGAGCCAGAAATACTGTTCATCTCCAAACTTTGAATGTAAAAAATCTATACACAAGCTGAAATCTTCACTTAAAGTAAGTTAGTGTATGCTTTTTTATATCACTGACTATATTTATATAATATGTATACTGCACAATCGCTGAATAACTCAATATCAAACACAAATATGAGAAAAGTAGTCACCATCTAAATAGAAAGCCAACATGTAGACATGTTAGAATTATTATGATCTGAATTAGAGAAGATTTTTTAAATAGAGAAGATTTTTACTCGGATTAAATTATTTGATTAATCTACGAAATACATACCAAAACAACAAAAACAGAAAACTCTCCAGGGAAATGCTTTCAAATTAACACAGTCAAAAAAAAAAAAACTCCCTCTTGAGTGCAAACAATTTATTCACACAAGTTATTGAACATGGATTTTATAACTTACAACTTCCTCCTTTAAATGTCTCTGCACTTCTTTAAAATATTTTGGGCAAGCTGAATTTTAAAACGACGCTGCCTGACAGAAGTTGCTGGGTTTTTAAAAAAGAAGATTTTACTGCTGGTCTGCTCAGTGTGAATCCCACCTTTCCTCAGCTGTCTGAGCCTCATGCTTCTCTACAAAACGTATCACATCCTATTTTTGTACATGCAGCTTTCTCAACACTTTTGTAGGCTGTCTAAATTATATTGTTGTTCTGGAGCAGAACAAGGTTCAAAGTCACTTCCTTCTGCAAACTTCTCCCTGAACAACACATGTTCTGCAGAGAACAGCCTGGGGAAATGTAGACTGATACCAAGGATTCTGTCATGAGCAGCTGACCTGTATTTAGCTGGAGGCCTCGCATTTCCCTCAGCTCGGTCAGAGGGAAACATACGGGAGTGTGTGCACAGGTGGACCTGTGTGAGTTGATCCTATCGCAGAAAAACTGCCCTGAGCAAGTCAGACAGCAGCTTCTCCTCCAAGCTTACGTCCTTCTCCTTGGACTCTTACAAGGCACAGAATCGCTTTTGACGCAAGTCCTGAAAGCAGCAACTGTAACCACAATGTCCAGCTTATTTACAGTATTTAATAAAAAGCCAGAAAAAATATTGGGAAAAGCTGAAGAAGAAGGAAAACCAACTCAATCATTTTCTAAGACAACATTAAAATTTAACTGCTGTGTTGGATGAGTTAATCCTTTTAACCTTGAGATTCTGTCCAAAGAGTGTAAAAACACTGTTTTATACCTTTGGGTCCCAAAGATCTTGATTGATACTGATGCCTGGTGAGAAGCACAGTGGTATAAAGCGTCCTTCAGGACGGATATATCAGTGAAGTCAGGGGACTGTAGTGGTCAGTGAATGTTTTATATCTTCCCTGAACAACAATTTAACATTTTGTCTGAAAAAACACAGATTTGACCCGATTCAGGTAAGTGAAAAGTCTCAGTGTTGATACTTGACTCTGGTCATGAAGTGATAATGTTCCACTCACTTGTGCAATTACCAAATAAATTTGGCTCGGCATGGATCGCACAAGGCAAAGTGCTTCATTAGTTATTATGATCTTTGTACAGTGTTTACTGTTTGTGCACATACACTGACATATTGCATTATTTGGTCTCTATGCATGTGAAAATACTCACAACTTCATTATTAACATTTCAGGAGTTCAACTTTTGATCTTTTTTAATAAAGTGGACGGTTCATTCTGTTTTCGATATTGTTTAAAAAATTTGAAGGTTTTTATTTCAAGGAGCAATCTTTTTCACAACTACAAGCTTTCTTCCTTCATTTAGCGAGTGACGAGCGGCACACTGTGAGAAGGTTACTTGTTGCCGTCTGCCATCAAGAAACATATTAATCACAGCAGCGTACGTTTCCAACAGGAAGCTCTTTTTGTCTGAAATAAATACAAATGGTGACTTTTTAAAAATATTTGTCCAGAAGAGGAGGTGTGCTTATTGGTAAATAAATATAGATAGAGTCAGTCCCTCAGTACTGAGCTGGGCAGGATTATAACTGAATCCATTACAGCAGATTTGATTGTATTTGACTGGAGCATCTTTACTTTTTCTTTTAAAGACACCAGTGTTGTTGGAAACAGGCATTTTATGAAGTAAATTCAAATGGATTGGTGATTGCAGCACTGCATCGGCTGCTCTTTTCTGCTTCTGAACTATGTATAAAGAATACCAGGCTGTACTTTATTTAATGTAAAAACATTTTCCACTTCCTGCGTGTAATGGCTCCACTCTTTTCCTTCAGTTTTGTCCTCTCTACTACATTATCTAATCACCAAGAATGTGAACATCCTTCGGCTAGTTAGATCACTAAATATACACTTATTTGCTATTCAAGCTCGATAAAAAGTCGACTGCCTCACTCCACTAAAAAATACAAATGCTTCAAACCCTTTTCTTGTTAATCTTGCAAAGCAACCACAGGCAACTTATTTGGCTCAGAGGGCAGTGGAAGCAAAGTCTGAATTTCTGTTTTTATTCCACATTTTGTTGATTGCGAGGAAAAGAGGACTGAGGAACGAGAGACTCTGGAAGGCAATCTTGCTTGCTAATGGCCTGCAAAGTTATCAGTTGCGGCTTAGTGAAGCTTAAAGCGGCTTCATTGGGATGTAATAGCTGGAAAACTTGTCCCCCATTCACTCTTGCTAATCCTTCCTTCAGGGCTTTCTCTCACAATCAAAGATTCATAGAAAGAGGCAGCTCGAGAGGGCTGGATGAGGCAATGAAGCAAAAATGATGACGACAGAGAAAATTGCAATCAGGCGCAGAATGAGAGAACATTTAAACACCAGCCGAAATGACATTAGGATTGAAGCGTTGGAGGACGCTCACGAGTCTCGAGTGTTATTTAGACGAGCTGCCGAACAGATCTTTCCTGTGCCGTTCCGCCCTGTGAAGCACTTTTTATGCAATTTCTCAAGTAATAAACATGGCAGCATTCATCCCACTACGCAATCACTACTTACTTTAATTTCCCGTCGGTGGGAATGACATGCAGAATCTGCTGCTGATATTCACCCCGCTTCAAAGAGGAAACATTCGTCGCCTCGGGGTATGAAATCTTAATCCCCTAATGCATTCTAACAGAGGCTCTCCTGCTTTCTCGCTCTTTCTCACTGTTTGGGATTCAAATGTAATTTCCAACATCTCGCATTCAAAAGCCGTCGCTGCTTACCATATAATTTGTGTGTCACCAGTTTCAGAGTGAATCAAGGTCCCCCCCCCCCCCCAAAAAAAGACAAAATGTAACAAACTAATAAAACCTGCAGCTCATTGTTTCATTATAGAGTCATTTGGCTTTTAATATCACACTGCTTTTAATTGTCAGCAAGTAGTATTTATCAAGGAAGGCTTCAGTAACTAGACATTCACCAAATTTGGTGAATTTGATATTCACCAAATTTCAGTCCTCATGTCTGAAATGGTTAGTGATTATGACTATCTGACCAATCACAGCCAGACATCAGCAATTCAACGCCACAAAAGCGTAAGCAGGATTTCTCACGTTGAGCGTCAGTAAAATGTTCTGCAGCAGCAGCAGAGTCTCAACGAAGTGTAGCCTATGTCCTGCTTTTACGCTCACTGATACATCAGCTTAATCGTTCTTCAACAGCTCATATTTTGAACCTACAAACCATTTTCTAAAGTGCTATTTCTCAATTACTCTGAAAAATCTTCCCAGGTATTTTTATGAACTATTGTTATAAATAACTATTGTAATTTTCTAACACAAGTAAGTCTACAGAATCGGCATTTGTGTGGATGCACAGTTGTAATATTAATTGCACTCTTTTCACTGTGAGGGTGTGGTGAAGCAGTTTTAACACGGATAAATGATTTAAGACTTTCCTGCCAGGAGTCTGCATGACAGTAGAAATACTACACACAACCAGAAGAACAACAAAACTTTAAAAGATGCAATCTGACAATTGTATTTCAATTCATGGTGTGAAATTATGGAACAAGTTAAAAGCGGAGTTAGAACAAAATCAAAACTTAGTACAATTTAAAAGGAAATATAAGCAGGTCATTTTCACAGGATATAGAAATATGGGTGAGCGTTGGCACAAATGTGTATGTTTGAGGCGTGTGTGTTGGTATGGATGCATGTAAACCCAGATAAAATGTCAAATTAATTAACATATGTTTATTTATTTTTTATTTAATAATGAGGGTCCATCTGAAAATATGGTATGAGTTTATGGGGTAGGAGTTCATAAATTTCTTACTTCTTCCTACTCGTTTTCGAGCCTGTTAAGTTTAAATTATGTATGTGATTTTATACTTCTATCATGTTCGAAATATCCCTCAATCTGTCTGACTGTCTGTCGATCATTTGCCTCTTAGCAATCTTTTTGGGATGAAAGATGGTGTTGCTAAAGTAAAAAATGTCATTTCTCTATTTTTTTAATCTCATTTTATTTTACAATATTTGAATGTTGTAGGTACCAATAAAACGCTATAAATTCACTAAATGACAAATGGGATTATGAAAAAAGGCATAAGGATATTTCTTTTGCATTGAAATGGAAAATATTCTGATATTCTGTGTAATAAAAAAAAGAAGACCCACACAGCCTTGAGATGAAATACACTGCTGCATATAAAACATCTGACAGAGCAGTAAACACCTGTCAGCAGCTCTGACAACATGCTGTAGCAGCCGTTCTCCGACCGATTTCACCTTCTTTAATGCATAAAGCTCCATGTTACATAAACAAACCTGTACGTACACATACATACATTCATCCATAAATACATGCAGACTGACCTTGCCAGCAGGCACCCACAGTCAGCTGGGTGTCAATCTTTGAGGAATGAATCGGCCAATCATCCGTCACCAGGTACGGCTCAAAGGTCACGCCATCGACGAAGAGCGTCACTGCAGGGAACTCCACGTTGATCACGTAGTAGTGCCACTCCTTGTCACAGATCTGGAAAGCAGGGAGAAGCGTCGCATTGAGACTGTCTTTCGGGTTCCCACTTCTTACAGAGCAAACCAAGCCTCGTCTTCACATGCATGACAAAAGGACAGCTTCAAAAAGGTTTTCTAGGAATTCCTTTTCATTTTTTGGTCAGGATGCAAGATTATTTCAAGCCACTGTTTTGAAGGAGCATCTTACCTTCTGTAACTAAGATGCAACAAAGCCTTCGCCTCTTCCCTGGATCATTTGCTCCATGTCATTAGACAACTAATGAGGTTTTCAACTAATGAGGTGTTCATTAAAGGCACTGAGCGAGCGAAGAGTGGCAGCCACAGCCAGAAACTTTTAACAAAAGGTGGAAGCATCCTTTGAATTTTTAGGGAAATCCGTATAAGGACGTCTTTTCTTCCCCTCACATTGTCTCTTCACATTATACATACAAACCATTCTTAAATTGACATATTTACTTAAAAGATGTCAATTATGAACAAATATGTCAATATGGACTTGAATCTCTGAAGGATTTCAAACACCATTTTTCCATATTACATGCAGTTGTGCAAGTCCCTCCTGTCCAACCAATTAAAATGGAATATTAGATTTTTTTGCATCAGGAAGCAGGTAATATAGTCTCCCAGTACTCAACAGCAACGAAGGTAAACTACTCCAGTGCACATGCATGCAAGTAGAGGCAAACTTGTTCAGGGAACAACTCTTTCTGATGCCGCCCTGGGAAACCGCCCTTAAAACCGCCACAGTGTGCACATTTCCCAAAAATATTTTACCGTCTCAAACCAAGCACGTTTTTACACATAGATGTGCAAGACGCAACACAACAAAAGTTGAAAATTGTTCAACTTTTGTTGCTCCATAGATAAGATATTTAGGTCAAAATAGAAAATAGTCTGATTATTATGTGTTATGTAATATTAAAAAATTCAGATTAGTCACATATGCTAACTCGTTAACGTTGGCAGTCTTATGTATTGCACAAAAAAATACAATTCAAAAGCACAAGCAAAGTGTACCTCACAGTACCCAGACTTTTCCTCACACATTCAACAAACTTCAACACTTTTAATCGACAAAGTTAGCAACAAACAAAACCAGAAAGTTGCAGGCAGGAGCTTTCACCATCTCATTCTGAAGCCTTCTGCAGATCAGCACCTGATTTCCCCACTCTCATATACGTGGGTTGCTTTTGTTTGTCTCTTCAGATTTGATTCCACTTCTGTTGTGTGAAGCACGTCTTGACATGCCTGAGCGGGGGCCTCGGGGAGGTTGCTGAAAAGCGGCGCCTCGACCCTTTTTGATGCCGATTCTGTTGCTTTTGTTTGAGAAGGTAAGATTCCACTGAGTTGATTTTAGCTCTGCACCGCAGCCAAGCCTAATTACTGCTCATGCAGTTGAATGATTATCTGATCAAGCTGTGTAATCTGAACAATGCGGTTTTGTTGTGCAATGAAGCCACAGAAGCATTTGATCATTTTTAAGTCATAATTACAACCTGGATGCGGAACACAAACTGAAAACTAATGATGATGGAACATCAATCGAGAATGTGCTTATAGGTGCTTCATGTTAAACTGATAAGCAGAAGGAAAATTATAAGGTACTCATAAACGGTGTACGAACATTAATACCACGAAACAACAGTCTGAACGTTTTTAGCTACATCTTGGATGTCATCTCTACAGGCACAGCAGGTGCAGCAGAGATAAAAGAGCAGAAGAGGAAAAAATATTGTGCTTTTTGTTGTCATTTTTAATTAACAGAGAGAGGCTGATGAGACTTTCATTAAACAATAAGAACAACATCTAGAGTGGAGGATTCACTTCAGAATGATGTTTGTTTTCATCAATAAATGATGATGCAGATTGTAAAAAACAATCTGATTCACCTGAAATCAACAAAGACCTGGCTGAAAAAATGATTCTAAAATAGCTACATGCACAAATTTATCAATATTTGTTCAGACCACACTAACTATGTTGGAATAAACGTAGAAATATCTCAGAATGGAAAAGAAACAGGAGTGCACGATTAAGTTCTGGTAATTTCCGCTCAGTAAGTTAATTTATTTTTAAAAGTGTCTTTGACTCACGTTGTGCAGAGCTGGCTGTGCGCCTGCTCTCCATCCATGAGCAACGCTGGCAGATTTCCTCTGAAAAGTTCATTTACTTGGAATCTACTTACTAAACTCAGCATGTGAAGCTTTACTTGGAGCATTTTTACAATCACACTACTTGTATTCTATATATTAAACAGAACAGGTTCAGCTTTACACTCCGTAATATCCCTGTTTGTTTTTTGTTTTTGTTTAGTAAGTAGTACAATAGCAATCCTAAATACAATTTAAATCAGCAGAACTTAAGCAAATGTCAGAAACTTAAAAGTTTTTAGTTTTTTTTTTTTTGGTGAAGCTGTTAATAAATGAGTAACAAAATTTTGGTGTAAATCAGAAGAAGACAGCCTGCATTTTATCTTCCATTTTGCTCTACTAGTTTTTAACAAGCACCCCCGACTTCAATATCTCATATAGCTGCAACAAATATAAAGGGAAGTGAAAATTTTATGAAACAACAATTAACTCTTCAAAAAGCTTGTACCTCATTAACACTGTGCAACACTTTCCTTACTCTTACTTTATCAAGGTTAGACTACACATGATGAAATTTAACCTAAAAGAGAATGAAACAAGACAAAGCTGCATCATTAGAGAATGAATAAAGCGAAAAAAACTTACAAAAATGACATGAATCAAAACAGAAAACTATAACAAAGTATTGATGAAAAACCCAGAATTGACAGAAGCTTCTTCTTCTCTTTGTAGGAATCAAAGGTTGACCTCAAAGTATCGGTATTTACAGTACAGGCTTCAGTCTGGCACATACATATTTCCTGCAGCCTTATTGGTAAAGTTAGACTTTGAGAAACATTCGGGGAAAACCTTGGATCAGTTCTGTTGGTGGGAAAATCTGACAGCACCAAAGTGATTTTCTGAGTTTGACTCCCACAGTGAAGAAGATGATTTCTGCTTCATCCAGTGTGTTTTTCACTCAACTTCTTTTCTCTGGGTGTAAAAACTGAGGAAGTGGAATCCAGACAGACAGAGAGACAAAACACACACACACACCCACACACGCATTCCCCGTGGTTTTTAGTGTTTTCGGAACATACTCTCTGCAACTGCATTTATTGAAAATCCTTTCCAGGAAGCTCAAAGGTCTTAAATAAAACGTGAGCACCACAGCGAGTCAGCTGAGTGATGGACACTAAAAGAATTGCGATTTCCACACAAATCTGCTGTAGTGCTGAAAATTAATCTGATCGCAACAGATGTGATTATTGTAATTACCAGGTACTAACCTTCCGGATCCACAGCCGCACTCGGTTAGCCTAAGCTGCTGACAGACGTCAAAATATCAGAAATTACGCTGTCACAACACAGGCACGTGGGTTGCACATGGACCTCATTAGCAGATAAAATCGGCAGTTTTCTTTCTGCTGCTGAGGCACGTTTAAACACACACAGCTTGCCTGGAAACATATTAATCAGTGGGAGGTTGAAAGCATTCTTCCTCAGCATCAGTGTAACGAGACGTTGAGTGTTGAAACACTCTAATGAGCTGGTCCCAAGGCGGGTTAAAGACCTGCTTATGACGAACTCAATTATCAGAGCAGTCCCTCAAAAAAGACATGGCTACGGCGATGCCACGCCCACACAAACGATAATACATTTCAGGTGTTTTTTTTATTTATCTTTTATTTATTTTTGCTTTCATTTGGACTTGATCATTTTTATTCCACAGTTCAGAAAACAAAAAAGTTTGGTAAAAGGTGAACACAAACAGAGAGGATGGATGTAAACATTGTGGCATGTCAATTTGCATTTAGAATCCTTTTTATTTAACAATTCTGTTTTTATTTAATGGAATATTAATTATTTTAATGACATAATTAGTTTAATTAAATCTTAAGGGTGAAAGAATTCAAACAGATTGTAAATGAAGTTTAAAGAAAACACATTACAACTAAACACTCTTCCTATATGTGTTTTCTGATCTTTATTAATAATTACTGAAATGGGTGAGAGAATTTGAAGGGAGGTAGGAAAAAGGAAGGATGTGAGAAGAAGAAACTTGTGTTGTTGGGGGTGGAAGAAGGATTTTATGAGGTTAAGGATGGAAGGAAAAGTGACGGATCAGGAGAAGCAGGTGGAAGGATGCTCAAGGTGTCAAACAGACGGGCAGAAAGATTCTGATGGATGAGGCGAGGGGAAAGAGGAGAAGACGGGATGCAGAGGGTCTGCAGAGTTGGAGGTCTGGTTGGGCCTCAGGGAGCTACAGATGTTCAGCATCCTTTGGCTCCTTGCTCTGTGTCTGCCTCCAGCTCCACGATACTCCTTTCTTTTTCTCTCTTTTGTTTCTCCATAAAGCACAGTGATCTATGGCGAGTTTTGTTTCCCCTATGAGAACGTGGAGGCGGCTCCTCTTTTTCTCCTGCAGTTCTTCATTCGCCTTCGTTTTCAAATATTTTGTCTCTTCTTCCAACATTTGGGTCTTTTCTTTCTTCTGATTTTTCTGTCTCTTTTTTTCATCCAGATGTCTCTCCTTTCTATCTTCAAGGGTTTCAGGTCTTCATCAGCCTTTAGTATTTTGTGCCTTGTCTTGCTCTCTTTTATGTTTGAACAGCTTCATCTTTTCTCGGAGAACCTTTTGGAGCACTTCTGTTTTCTTGTGGTCAACAGATAATGTTTGAGTTTCTTTCTTCAGCTCTCTCTGCTCCCCCTCAAACATTTACTCGCAGCTCCTAGTTGTTCACTTTCAGAATATTCTTTTCTGCATTTAGATCATTCCCTGCCGACTACGTCTCATTTTTAGTTGCTTCCAGCTCCTTCAGGTTTTGTTTTTTCCTTTCTCTCAGTATGAAATGCAGAGTCCATCAGGTCCAAACTGCTTTTCATTGACGTGACACTCTTGGCCTCAGATTGTCTGCATATTTATGCG